TTTTGGTGGGTTTTTCTATGCTATGTTTGCACAGGACGAAAATATTGACCTTTGTCCTCGATGCAAACACTACATTGGAGCACACACACTAAAGACTTGTTGGCTTCTTTCAATGAAAGAATCAATACAATTGCAATTCTAGTCATGTGGACTGTACAGTGTACACTCTGGCAGAGCTACAAATGCAACACGCGTTTCAAAATCCCAAACAATTACTGGGATTTGTGATGCATTAAGGGAGAATGACAGCCTATTCTAAACTATAATTACACTGCGATCTCTTAAGTGATAGGCTTATCTCACAGGAGGAAAAGTCTTTATTTGGTGTAGGGGGAAACCTCCAATTAGGAAGCCTTTGAATAAAAAAAGTTGCAAGCAAATGTTAGACGCATCTCAGATATTGTGTAAATAAATATTCCTCTGTCTATGAGCAGTATGCTTTCTTTTGCTGAGTCACAATGCCCCTATTCTCCTTGTTTGAAAAAAAGGAAAGAGATCTTAAAGTGGTGTGGCAGAAGCCGTGTACATGAAAAGGTTCTATAAACATTGTTTTTTTCCCAGGTTCAGGTCGGACAGGCTGCAACAGAGATAGACTACAGGTGGCAGAGACATGGATGAAGCATGGGCATGTGTAAAGCTATTCAATCTGACAAGGACAGCTGACTCAATGCCACTTGTCCCATTTGTCCAACCCTGTGCTTTTGTATACAATGTCTAGAGCCATCTAGATGACCTTTTGGGGCAATAGGTTTTGCCTCAATATGTTTGAGTTAAAAGCAAAAATAAACTCATATATAACAAAGAAGACCACATGATAAGGACTGACCTAGTGAAATTGCATGACTTGCATGTGATCAAAAAGCTTGGAAAACAATTCGTTTTGGTGTGTGAAGCACTAGGCATGCTGCCACACTGCATACAACTAACAAACTGTGTGTTGGGTAAAATGTCAACAGATGCTGAAACTGTGGACTGCAGGGGTCAAATGGTCTCAAAACTGCATTCTATAATGTAATTAGTACATAATAAGTTACTAAAAACAACAGTCAAACAATCCCTTTGTTATTTGTAGACAAAAAGCTTTGGTCTCCTAGAACTCTTGTTGCACCAAATTAATAACTCTCATCAACGCTACGAAAAGTTAGTTAACTCCGATTTGCTTACACGTAACATGCACATTAATGATTGACGTACTATTATATCCATTGAGTCATCAGATTGTTTTGACTGTCTTTAGTTCGTAGTTTAAAGTAACAAAGTGGGCGCCTGTGTTTGACCCTACTAAAGGTTGTCATACCTACTGACGTTAGCCAGTAGCTGCATATATATTAGCATGCTAACGAGTTAGCTAGTAGGGATGTGACACGATAACTGACCTTGTCCTCAAATCAGTCTGCACCACAGCGTGTTTAGGTCAGCGAGCAAGCTAATGAGCTATGCTAACAAACACGTTGGCTAAAGGATTAACACACACCCGTCTGTGGAAACACTGAACATTCATAAAAAGTTGTGGGTCAGCCAGTGCACACTTGGCTAAGCTACCTTGACACAGTCGATGGGGAACATGAGGCAGTGCTCCATGATCCCGGCCACGGCTCCAGCCCACATGTGGGTGCTAGTGGAGGCTCCCTGTGGCAATCCCTCATAGTCTGGTTCAGAGTCCTCTGTTTGAGCATCTTGTGCACTACGGTTACAATCAACAGTCTGCAGCTCCGTTTCCCCTCCGATCCGGGGTGACAGGCTCCCCACGATAGTTTCCGAAACTCCCCAGAATCTGCCCCCCAGCCATCGAACTTCTGCCCCGGCAGATGCACCAGCAACCCCGGGATCATTGCCTGTAGTCTCTGCTGTCATCCGTCGCCTCCTCACAAATCCATCTGCTTCCATGAGAAACCAGGTAAAATGTCAAAACACGCAGATACGGCGTCTTGTTGGTGATATATCAGTCCTTAAGGTTCACATTCCCGTAGGGAGGTATTAACGCTGCTTGCCTGCTACACCATTCCCTCCCCGCCTCATTAGGCTACTTCCCAGCCAGGGCTAAGCAAGGGAGGCCGTGGCGCACAAATACACAAGCCCCAGCACAGGCCGCGATGAGGAAATGAGCTCTGATTGGTTACGATGGTCAAGTCCTACTCACGCTATTGGGTTATAGACCTGCCACTCATGAGAGGGAAGACTTCAAACCCTGTCATAAGGCAGTTGACATTAACTATGTCAACCATGTTATCCACATTAACTATGGCTGCATGCTGCATCTGTGAAAGCCATCAAAACTATAGGTCACTGCAGGTCATCCATAACGATATTTCTTAAATACATAACCTAATCAGTTTTATTTGTTGGCACTTGACGTGTCACTTAATGCTACATTTATAGTCTTATTAACAGTGTTGTGAACTACAGATTTGACCCATGTTGCATAGTCTTTACACAAAGAAAACCAAACTAAAATCAGTATCTCTCCACAGGATAATCAGCATTTTCATCAGCATTTTGAAAGTATTATTAAATCTCACTAAAAACGGTTTGATATTTATTTACTGTTTCAAATTGTACAGCCTCTTGGTCAGTTGTTTAATCCAGGAATTATTGAACTAGAATTATTCAACGGATATATCTGTTGAATACCAATGGCTTGGTAGATAGCTTATGTAAAGGTCCACCTGTGATTCAGCCCTCTGCTTTTCACACTGCGTAGCCCCCTCATTTCTTTCTATAAATTAAACACTGATGGCCTATTTGAACTGTTATACAGTTGTTGTTTTACAAATATGTAGTATCAATGTGTTCATACGAAAATCAACTCTGTTATTGAGATTCAAATACAAAGTACTTTATTGTCTGTATAGCCTAAGTAATTTATGCTACAATTGGTAAAACCATTTTCTAACTTATTAATAAACATATAGCACATCATGTTTGCAATGTAGAATGTGAAGTGTCTTGGTGTGGTTTTGATCAGTGTAGGGCTGCATACCTATACTAATCATTTTCATTATCGATGTTTCTGTTTTGGATTAAGGGTTTAGTCTATAAAATCCAACAACAAATTAAAAAAATGCCCATCACAAATGAATCAGCACATTTTACAGGATTTTTGCTTAAGAAATTACATCAACAATGTATCAATGTCTACAATTGTTGATAGTTTATTTTCTCGTTAAAGAAGTGATAGATTAACAGACAGTCGTCTCAGCTCTACATCAGTGTTCACAATAAATTATACAGACACACACATTACACCTAAGAAATATTTGTCTTTTTGTCATTTCTTCTTTTCAGGACGTGCAGTACGATCTTAAAAAAATACCTTTTATAATCTTTTATAAGACCGCATCTTGTATTTTTAAAATAAGGAATTCCCAAAGCTATCCGATAACTTCTTAATGTCTTTCATCCTCACTAGTGAACCCCTCTGCCTGAAGAAAAATAGAGATATTTTTTCCCCCCCAGAAAATTTGGTAATTGTGTTTGCGGCACTGTTATAACATAATTACATTTTCTCCTTTATTGCCTGGGAGAGCCTTCAAGGGTTGTAGTGTTGAATTTCTGCCGACAAAGGGGAATGAAGTGTTAATTTCTGCTTACAAGAACAAAATCTCCTGCTCCTGATCTAGTTATGGTTGATTGGCTGTTGTCCGCAGACGTTCCTTAAAGGAAAACCAAGCAGAGAGCATATCAGCATCAATCTCTTCCCTGAAGCTAATGCTACTCTAATACACCAAGGGAGAGGCATGTTAGGTCTAGCGGGAAACTCTAGATCACCATAACGCCTCATTTAATTCCCTATGCCAAGAGAGTGCACAGTCTATATAAACCTCAGGAATTATTTTACACTGTCTAAGCAAAACATAGTCAAAAATCCACATTATATGATCCGATAACTCAATTCTGTTCTGCTGTGTTTGGTTGTTTTTCTACCAATTAACACACTTCCTTCCTTAGATCTTTGGCTCTGTCTATTCCCTGCTGCTCAGGCCTGAGATGATATATGGCCTCTTATCTTATTAATGCATGGTAAGTGAACCAATAGGCCAATATGACATCTTCAACAGCAGCACTAAGAAACCCTTCTTTGTTAAGAGCTCTTCTTAAAACTCTTGAGGTGGGTCCTTACCGTGAGATGACTGGAGCCCAACCCCAAACCAGCTAAAAGAGGATGGCTTTAATTGCCCTTTTTGATTGTTGTGTATTTTCTTTCACATATGTTTGTGTATATTATGTGTAAAAACAAACACTTTAACAACAAATGTACATAATGCTCTGTGGAATTTGACATGCAAATATTTAAGTCCTGTGGTATTCTGACATGCTGTGGATTTTTATATAGCTGTATATTCCCAAGACCTTGAAAGACTGAGAAAGTCTGACAACTATATACAGTACTATTGAGGTAGGCTTTTTGTTCTTAAAGTGATTGCTCACTTGAGCCTTATTTTATACTACACAATACCAATATAATATATGTGAAATTAATCAATCGATTTTTAGTAAAATGTGTGTTTCGTAATGCTGATTTCTGGAAAAACCAACAACAACATCAAGGGGCTTTGGAGCTGGATTAAGTGAAACAACTATGCCACCAAGTGGACAACTGAATGATGACAGGCTGATGGATAAATTGGATGTATGGATGTGTATAGCCTTAATTGCTTCAGTCAACATAATCCAATTACAACATATTATTATTGGCTAAGTGTCTAGTAGTATAAATTAATTATATTTTAAAATTATCTTCACCTTCCACCTACAATATCCAATATCTAAATATGTACACTTTACTGCATCATTAATTATAATTCGATAATACATTAACCTGATAGGGCATTTGGCTTAATGAGTACTTTTTGAGTTTTTTTAATCATGACTTTTAGATAGGCTTCTTGAAAAACCTTTTAAGTACTTAAGTAAAGTTATGAATAGACTACTTCTTCCATATCTGCACATTAACCCCCTGGCCAATAACTCCCACTTCCCGCCCCTACTCCAGACCGGTTTACAGTACGAGTGCCTTGGAAACCCGGATCTACTCCCCCAGCTGCAGGGGAAAATAGGAGGGATTGATTTGGGATCTTTCCTCAAACCTTTGCTATGGCTGCAGCGGTGATGTGGACTGATCGAGGACGGAGGGCTGCGGCTGTTGTGGGGACTGTGACCAGATCCAGATCAAGTCAGGCCGCTTTAAAATCCCAGTATGACGCTCTGGTTATTGGGGGAGGTGAGATCTTTCGACTGTTGGGGGAATGTGCAGAAAACACAGGGCTTATGCTACAATAAGAACAACCCAACGACCTCTTTGTAACATTGATACATCGTGTCAGCTGAGTTTGCAAAATGTTTTATTAAGTATGTATCTCTTGCTTGTACAAACGTATTCCTGTCGGACAAAAATTCCTTATTTCAATGTTTTTTGCGTTTTGTAAGTTTTATCTCAACTATTCAACTTTGGACTCATTGTGCTTGGCTGTAAAAAGTAAAAGAGAGCAGCTTGCATACTTACATTATAAACTTGACAGACTTTAATTGTCAATGAAGCTTTTATTTAGAGTTGTTCTATGAGGAATTAGCATTTCCAGGTTAACTGTCTGATAAATATCATATTTCATTGCAGGACACAATGGACTGGTGGCAGTGAGTTACTGCATTTCTTTCATAACACCTACACTATGCTGTAATACATTATATGGCACAGCAAACTTTTACCTTCTGCTTGGTCTGTGTGTTTGTGTTTGTAGGCTGCCTATCTTCAGAAGGGAGGAGTGAAGACGGCAGTCCTGGAGCGCAGACATGTGTTGGGAGGAGCAGCTGTTTCAGAAGAACTCTTTCCTGGTAGGGTCGATGTCACATCGGGTCATTTCACTGAAGTTAAAATACAAAAACAATCAAAACCTCTTTTCTTGCATAGGCCTTTCTTTTTAAATCCTAATGCACAGATGCAATTTTTACTTCATCTGGATACTATTGACAGTGTGTTATGGATTATCCAGATTTACAGATGTGCACACACACACACACACACACACACACACACACACACACACACACACACACACACACACACACACAAAGGGCTTGAATAAACCCAGATACACACATAAGTGTATTATTTCATACACTGTTAATGTGTGTTCTATCAAGTCATTCTTCAAAGCATGAATGTTGTCCTTGTTACATTATCAATACTCTCCTGTGCAGGTTTCCACTTCTCCAGGTGTTCCTATCTGCTCAGTTTATTAAGACCTCACATAACAGCAGAATTGGAGCTTAAGGTAGACAAAGCAAAGTTGTAAAATACATTAATTCAGCTCACTTTGGACAAGGCTTAAAGGAGTTAGTCATCATGTTTGCATATATTTTCAGAAACATGGGCTGAAAGTGTATATGAGGGACCCCCATGCTTTCACTCCCATGTTGGAGGATGGGGTGAACGGGGCCCCACCGAGGTCTCTCACCCTGGGCGCAGATCTGGCCATGAATCTGAGGGAGATCGGCAAGTTCTCACAGAAGGACGCTAAGGTGATTTCACTTTTACGATAACCATTAAAGGGTAAACTGTTGTTTGCATTGAGAATCTTTCTGCATTAAACACTTTAGCGTGCATGTATTTGAGCTATTGTCACAGCAGTATGAACTGAAAAAGTTGTCTTTATTGACCTTGTCCTCACATACTTGCCCACATTGTGTTCACCCTCATCTTCACCGATTCTTTGACATGTTTCCCAGGCCTTTCCAGAATTTGTTGCATACCTTGACAAGCTAGCATCAGCGATCCACCCTCTCCTGGATGCTCCTCCCGTAGACATCCCAGGTGTTACAACTGGATCACTAAGGAAGAGGCTGGCTGCAGCTAAAACACTTAAGCCTATTGTCAAATGCGGTGCGTTGGTGGATGCATGTTTGGGAAATATTTTCAATGCCAGAAAAACAAGTTCAAATTCAGCTACTACTCATTTTGTTTTGCAGTAAATGAGTCATGTTTTTAAATTTTTTTATTTTATTTAAAGGCCTGAGACTTGGCAGAAATATTCCAGACTTGTATGAGATCATAACTGCACCAATAATGAAGGTTTGCTATGGCTTACACTAAAAGTCGCATTTATTGCTATTTTCAGTTGACTGCATTTTGGCTAACTTTGTTTTGTGTCTTAGATCCTCAATCGGTGGTTTGAGTCTGAGCCACTGAGAGCAACACTGGCTACTGATGCTGTGATAGGAGCCATGACAAGTCCTAGTAATCCTGGTAGTGGGTGAGACACATTTTAGGACATCCCATAGCACACAAACACTTTTAACTACATTTGAACTGCATTGAATGAAACACTGACCTTGTCTTGAAGGTATGTGCTCCTGCACCATGTGATGGGAGAGTTGGAGAAGGAGATGGGAGCATGGGGTTATGTGGAGGGAGGCATGGGAGGCGTGTCTAACGCTATTGCTAATTCTGCTCGATCCTATGGTGTAGACATTTTCACTGAGAAGGTAAGATGATTTTGACTATTTATGCTGGCTTTGATGCAGTTTATTTTGTGTAAACTATATTCTAGCATCTGTATTTCCATCTTTATGCATAAACATGTGTTTCGTTGGCAGGATGTAGGACAGGTCCTGGTGGGTTCAGATGGTGCTGCCAAGGGCGTGGTGCTGAAGGATGGCACAGAGATCCACAGTAAAGTTGTTTTGTCAAATGCTACACCATATGTTACCTTCAAGAACCTCACACCACAGGTAATACAGAGAGGAAACAGCACATATGAGCTCTGCACAAGACGTGATTTATTCTGACTTCCTGTTTTCAACATAGGAAGCTCTATCTCCAGAGTTCATCAAAGCCGTAGATCAGATAGACTACACTTCGCCTGTGACCAAGATCAATGGTAAATCAGTTTACATACTAAGTGAGCTTGTGCTTAAAATAATAATCTGGTAGTTGTTGTGTTCTGACTGTTGGTCTGTTTAGTGTGTGTGTGCTTAGCCACTACATACATAATTTGAAAGCCACATAGAAATGGGTACTTGTAAGGCAGACTTGGCCCTAAGTCAAACAGATGTAGTGACTTAAGAGGAATCTGCTCTAAGTCATCCATTATTATATTATAACAGTGTAAGATTATGTCACTGCCTAAGTTCTTGGGACTCTAAAGACAGGTTTCAAGTTTGAGGTATTATAAAACAGTGTACAGCACACATAACTAAGATGTTTAGAGCTCCCCAGCTTCCTGTGCGGTGCTGTTTGTAGCTCCTGCTTGTTGATTACAGTAGAGCAAGAGCTGTAGGGTTTATAACGCAGGAAGTGGTGACTCCCAGATGATTCTTTAGAGTGCATTACTTCTTAGACTTAATGATACTCTGCTTTGTTTATAGAATTTATTTTAACAGTCTTACCGTAACAGATTTTAATAGTGTAACAGGTGCGACATATTACGTGCACTGAGTTGCCCTAATTGTAAACTGAAACCTTAGCACACACTTATAAATACTGACCATTAATGACACATAATCTCTGAGCAGACTCTCACTCCTTGTCATTTTCCCTGCTGTGACCTGTGTTTTAAAGTGGCAGTGGACAAGCTGCCAAACTTCCTAGCATGTCCAACTCCAGATAATAAACCTGGACCCCATCATCAGTGCTCTATCCATCTCAACTGTGAAAGCGTGGAGCTGCTGGAGATTGCTTACAAAGAGGCCGTGAATGGACGTCCCTCAACAAGGTATACTCCAAGTAAAGTTTTCGACACATAACATTTTATCCTTATATATGATTAAACAATCACCAATTAAACCCTCCTGCTTGTTAGCTGACCATGCATGCAAGAGATAGTACTGGAAGTGAACATCACAATAGATAGATAGAATCGGAGGGATGAAATCCCTCTTTAATGGTCACACATGCAGAGCACACAGCACACACAGTGAAATTTGGCCTCTGCATTTAACCCATCTTAGTACCAGGAGTCTAGTACTAGGAGCAGTGGGCAGCTATTGTACAGCGCCCGGGGAGCAATTGGAGTGGGGGGAGGAAGGGGGTTGTCCGGTGCCTTGCTCAGGTGGGCCCAGGAGGTGAACTGGGACCTCTCCAAGTAGCAGTCCACACTCCATATTTAGGTCTGTTCGGGGACTTGAACCGACGACCCTACGGCTCACAGTCCAAGCCCCTACTGACTGAGCCACTGCCGGACAAGTGTATACTTCAGAGTTAAAGTCTGTATAATGTATATGCATTTATTATATTTTTTGCCTTGAGGTAGATAGTTCCTACACATATTGATGTAAGCATGACTCAACAACAAACTGGGTGAAGATGTTCACATATCCTTATCTTGCAGATAACACTAAGCCTTCAATAAATGTCTGTGGTCAGAGGTGGGAAGTAACTGAGCACATTTACTTAAGTACTGTCCTTAAGTACAATTTTACGATACATGTACTCTACTTCAGTATTTACATGTTATACACATACATTACAATTCAGAGGTAAATTGTGCACCTTTACTCCACTAAATATAAACAACACTTACATACATTTTGCATAATTGTTGCAATGCTGTAAACTAGAACCAACACTTCTCATACTCAAGTTATATTATATAAATGATAATCAATGAGGTATAGCTCCAACAATGTATCATTAAAAAATATCCAGAATTTTCATCATCCTTCACTCAAACCGTATTACCTCATCATGCCCCTCTGCTCCTGCAGACCCATGCTGGAGATGACCATCCCCTCAGTGTTGGATCCTACTCTGGCTCCCCCTGGCTGCCATGTGGTGTCCCTGTTCACCCAGTACACCCCCTACCACATAGAGGGCAGGGAGTGGACTGACCAGGACAGAGAGGAATACGCAGACACTGGTTCGAAACACCATTTTTTTTAGCATGCTGTGATTAAACTGATATATATATATTTGTAAATGTTATGATTGCAGAGCTAGAAAGAAAATGCTATTCCAACATTCACATATCCTGTCTCAAATATTCCGAAGGGGACAACATGTATCTAGTGAAGTCTATAATGATTCATCTGTTTCATTAACAAACCTGTGTTTGTCTATCTTTTCAGCATTTGACTGGGTGGAGAAATACGCCCCAGGGTTTAAAGCCTCAGTGGTGGGCCGGGACATCCTGGCTCCACCTGACCTGGAGAGGATCTTTGGGCTCACAGGAGGGGTACATACAAAACATACATTTAAGAGCTGAGCAGCATATTTGAATTTTGATTCACAGTTGATTTGCTTGACAGATAAACCTGTCCACTGTATGAGGAAGTCATTTGCGTCCTCTGCAGTGTTCTTTCATTCACCAACGGCTCAGGGACAGACCTGTTGCATAAGCAGTTAATGGTTACATACATTTACCACAACCAAGGAGTCAGTATCAAAGTTCACATTTGTAGTGTGGAGCGACACAAACTCTTGGATTAATGCATACAACTGTGTTGCCTTTTAACAAATGCCTTTGAACTTTTCCCTTAACAACATTACATATTTATCCAAAAAAAATGAAAATAAACATTTTGTTTTTGTCTTTACAGAATATCTTCCATGGATCAATGTCGCTGGACCAGCTCTACCTAGCACGACCTTTGCCCTGTCTCTCTGACTACCGCTCACCAATAAAAGGGCTGTATCTGTGTGGCAGTGGCTGTCATCCAGGTTTGCTTTTAACGCTTACACTGAATTTGCAAATGCAGCTGATTTTTTGTGTATAGTGTACTATAAGTACAACATTTTGTTAATGCTATTTTTTCTGGTGTTAGAAAAGCCCAGCTATGAACCTTTGGAACTTTGGATGAAATCTTATCCTTACTGCTCATGATAAAGAAATGAAGTCACTTTATGTTACGCTTAGTAAATGTTTGTGATTCCCAACACAGAACCAAGTGACTAATTATTGTCTAATTTAATTGCAATCTGTTTTTTTTAGGTGGTGGTGTGATGGGTTCTCCCGGATGGAACGCAGCGCTCACTGTCATAGCTGACCTGAAACGTCGCTAAAACACCACCGGCATCAGTGTGTGGTTATCTGATCAGTGTTATCAACCTCTCTTTTGTCTGATTTTAAGGAATTTGAAATGAATTGTAATACTCACTCCAACAGATATGCTGTCACCCCATCCTATCATGTTTGTAAGGGTATCTGAATATGAGAGAAAAGGGGCAAAATGGTTGATTTTATTATACAACTGACATGGGATGAAAGAGACAATCACTCCTGAAGACACTAGTGCAATACTGTCGCATTACATTTGTGAATTCATCTAACTGAGTCAGTAGGAAATCTGTGAAATGTTAGAACATAACTTACACTTGTCTTAATAAAATAAATGTTAATGTATTGATGGAATGAAGCAGAAGGGAACTTTTTACAACTTTAAATAACTCAAAACAAATTCAAATGTTTCACTGGGTTAAATGATGCCTTAATAATTGCTGGTATGTGTTATGTTTGATTAGTAAAAGAAAACACAGATGTTACTAATAACATTAATGATGACTCAGTTCTTATAAAGTCTCCCTAAAGAGGATCAGATGTAATCCAGCCATGATTCATTTTATTGTTTACACCTGTGCTTTCGTCAAAATGTGACTGTAATTGAATGTGGCCTAATTGGTTTTCTACAAGTTTAGTACATTACCTTTTATAGGTATTTTACTGATAGGGTTAGTTCAAAGATCGATGGGCCTATAATTGTGCATGGGTGACCTACCTGGCTTTTTCCTCTTGACTCTCTCAGGAAGACCCCAAAACAATTATGTTAAAGCTTCTTTGTTAACCTTCTTGGCAGTTAATAAATGTGGTTTTACAAAACAAGTTTTAAAAAATACTTCCGTACTCTAACTACACAGGGTTTGACTAAATATTATTATCTCATGATACACTACTCTACACAGTGTAGTAAATGTACTTGTATATTTTTCAGCAGTGGGATTTATATATTTTTGAATATGTTCGATGTGTACTAAACAGCCAGTATCACATGTACAATACAATAATATAAAAATACAGCCCTATACAGTCATTAAGTGCTGTAAATTATAAGATCAGGAACAAAAAAACTAACTATGACAAAATAGCAAACAATTACAACAATGCCAGTTAAATTAAGAATATCCAAAAGTAGGCTAATGTAAAACAAATAATAGAGAGCAATAACATTGAAGCTAATGAGAGGTATGTAGGAATTAAAACAATGTCCTTGTATAATTACATTATTTTTTTTGAAGGGATTTTAATAAAAAAAAGTAACAATAACTCATATCATACTATGACGATAAACTTTGTAACAATTGCATAACTATTATTTGTATTAATACTAATTAATAGTATAATAATTTATAATCAACGATAAGATGCATAGATACAAGTTATTGTGTAGTGTTGTTACTCACTCACTTTGATAAGATATGCACAGTTCAATAATCGATAACGGTGCTCTGTGCCTTTAAGACGTCGCTCAGGGTGGACCCAGCGTCGGCGTTTTGACGCTCAGGAAGTGGACTCAACCACCAAAGATTCCCGCAGATTCGATATCGATGATTGTCCCAATGTTACAAATGTGTCCACACTGACCTAAACATTTGTTTCAACACTTTTTGTGGGATATTTGAGACGATAATGCTGGATGGTTGCACTCATGAAATTCACCAGAGATATATGCAGGCTGTTGGGACTCGGGAGCGGTAAGAAACGTCCCACTTTTTTTAAAACTTTCTAAACTCTACCACAAGTTAAACTGACCCTGTAAGCGATTGTGAAGCGCCTGTGACAATGGAACTGTGGATATGATATAACTCGTGGTTTATTAAACCGTATATTTGCGGTAGTATTTCGCTATTGTCTTAGTCGTGAAGTTCAAACTGAGTTCTTGGTACAAACAATGAAAGTCCCCCTCTTGCCAGTTACACCCTTGCTTGCTTGCACCACTTCCAAGTTTGGGCAGTCGGTGCCATACAGTTGTTGCACTTCTAATATAAAACACACTTTTACAAGCGTTAACTTTGACGTATTCAGTAATAACATAACGTGTAAGTCTATGTATGCTTTATATAGCGGGGGATGTCTGTAAAAGGCACAGACGAACACAAATTAGAAGCACATTCCCTGTTGCATGTTGGTATGATAACAATGCCTCAAATAGGTGACAAAGCCCTGTAGCCCGGAACTTGCGCAATGATTAAAGTTGGCATAAAGTGATGTGTCTTTAAATGTCATGTGCCTACACTTTGTTCCTCTTCTGGGTTTTCCCTTTGTGTTTAGTTTCCTAGAAATGCAGGCTGTAAAGCAGGTTAGATTTTTTTAAATCTGTGTCTTCAAATGTCACTTTTTCAAAGTATCATTAGACGATAAAAAGTTAAGTTTTATCACAGAGGAGACTGCATATATTATTTTTAAGTTATGAGACAAGTTGTCAAAGTGTCATGTTAACCTTGTAAAAACGCAACTACATCCACAACAGTTTTTAGAAATACCTATGATCCACTGCATGTCACTATTTTAAGGTTGTGTCCACACAGGGGTTTAGTCAGTTAACCTGTCACGTGATTTAGTTATTTTTTTCAGGATAAGGTTAGTATTTTCTTTCTCTTCCTTTCTCTTAAAAAAGGTGTACCACTCTATAATGATAGACTGTTATTTTTACATTCCTGTGGTAGGAGCTCACCTTTCCACTCAACGCTAGTTTAAGCAGTCTCCTTGAAGGGGAGAAACAGAGACCCTTTTGTTGCTTTTGTCCACTGATCTCGGATCATTTATTTGATAGGAGAACATTCCATTAAAGCTAAGATTGAACAAAAAGCCTGATTCAGCTACTGGGATGGAGCTGCACTTAATCAGTGGTTGTGTCTTGTCATTTGAGTAGTGAGCCAGACACGGACAGCTGAGATTCCTTTCACTTTCCATGTATATTTTGAGACACTAACTCAACTATGATGGTGGAATGAGCGACTTTATTAAAGCTAATGAAACTCAGTTTGACATGCAACATTTTTTTTGTAATGTACATGGTTGGATTGTTTAGGCAGTGTTTGTCTAAAATGTGGTCCCCCGTACTTTTTAGAATTATAGTATCATGTAGTATGCTTGAAAAGCAAAACTGTATTGAGCATATGGAGAATTGCAATCACTCTCCTAAATACCCCAGATTCACAACATGAGTCACATACCAAGTATGAATGTGTCACTACTCTGGAAATCATTGCTGAACAAATGGAAACCTGACACCACGCAGAATCCTGCATGGTGCAGTGTTTTGCTTTCTTTTGTCTTTTCATTGGGCCTTAATCAGCGCCAGTGTTCTGGTTTGATCCGATCTATGCCCTCCTACACAAACACACACATTAGAGGCAGTGGTTGTTTTCTATGATTGCTTCTGAGAAAAGATACAGTGTTCTTAAACAGCATTGTCCTAAAGTTTAAGCAAACATCTCTCTCGTAAGACCACAAAGAAACCAGTTCAGTCAACAAATCTGTGTGCGTTTTTGTCTCATGTTCAGCCTTACATCATCTTTCTTCTCTTCACTCAAGTTTTGCATTTTGTTATCACATGTCATTGTGGTTAGACTCGAAAGTGAATGAGTTAGAAGCTATCCAGACCACCAATATTTATTTTGGTTGACGGGTTAGGACACAAATGGGCTTTTTGCCCATGCTGCTTTTTTTTTTATGCTGCTGCAATGCAAAAAATTCCCAAATTGCGATCAATAAAGTACTATCTTATCTTATCTTACATGTTACTATACTATAGAACACAATGTACATAAATAATAAATTGCTATGCGGACTGTACACTATACTGTGTTTTTTATTTTATAATAGCAACTATTTTCTTGATTTTGGCGTTTTCAACTGACACAAAACATTAAGACAGCTCAATTTTGTTCTGAAGAGTTGATTTCCTGTGTTTTTCTCAAACAGGCCCCCCTGTCCAGCAGCCGGAGGAGCCGATGGACTGTGGTGCCACAACCCCTGACCCGAGTGATGATACCTCGTTGTCACAGGTAAACAAATGGTGACGCATCATTGTTAGTGCTGCAAGGGTGAAGGCCCAATATTCAACTGTGTGTGTGTTTGTATAGGATGCATTAAATGGAGAGGAGGATCTGAGCGAGGAGGAGAAGGTCAGACGAAGGGCAGAGCGACGCAAAGCCAAGAGGAAGGTTAGCCCACAAATCATTACAACCCTTTTAAGGCTAATTGTTGCACTTGTAATAAGTATGTTATGCTATGAATGATAAAGTAAAGGGCATTTTCTAATGTGTCGAGTATTGCATCTATTTCAGCGCCGTCGAAAACGTAAGAAGCAGGAGCAAGTGAAGCCTAATGAGAGTACTGAACGGGTAATTATCACATTCTTCCTCGAGGGAGTGCACTCTACGTTTGTCTTTACCGTGGATGACTTGATATTTATATTACCCTACACATTAGGACGATGAAGACGAGGATGGGGGTGCAGAATCTGAACTGGATGATAGCGAGTCAGATGCAGAAGTTGGTGCTGAAGAGGAGAAACAAGGAGTGCAGAAGGAAGAGAAAAACGACGCAAAAGCAGCTGCTTCACACAAGAACGTCGGCATTTCTGTCATGGCTCCTTCGGGACTAAAAGAACAACCGAAGATCCAAGGCAGACCTGCTGAAGAGGTAGGAGAACTATACCTGAGTATAATGCCTGCATCTAGTTAAAATATGAACGTTGACATGCTTATACGCCCCCATTGAACACCAATGTGTGACTTTCTGTGTCCCACAGGAGCCAGAGTGGGATGTGAGCAGTGCCTTTGTTGCTAATGCTGCTAGCCATATCAAACCCAAAGGATCAAGTCGCAAGTCCAAAGAAAACAAGGAGAACGAGGCCAGGAGAGAGGTGAATAAATGCTAGTAGATAATGTTAGATGAGAAGTCAGTCATAAATGACCACTATTTTTCTTGTGGCAGCAGTATGTTCCTCGAGCAGGTCCAAAGTCCGATGGTGGAAAGTGTACTTTGGACACAAAAGCCTTACAACAGTTGTGTGTGTGTGTGTGGAAATCAAATCAAAGGGCTCTGTTGAAAATATTTAGAAATTGATTATTACAGTGAGTACATTTTCACAGCTGTGAATAAAACTGGCAACAATAATATTTTTCTTATAGACAAATGGAACTGACACCATGACAAAGAAAAGCGCGTCACTGACAGGTAATTCATTGTTTTTGAGTAACAGTTTACCGAACCAGCATGCCTCATTGGAAAAAGTAAAATTATTGATTACAAATCTTTTTAGCAAGTATGTCAGCATGCAGGATGCGGTAAGAGGTGCCAACTCACCAGAGAATTATTTTCAAGTATTTTTTCTTCCTTGCAGAAAAAGGCATAAAGCTGGTGCAAGAGGGGCAGTACACGCAAGCTGCCAGTATGTTTACAGAAGCCATCAAATGTGATCCAAAGGATTACAGGTACATCATCTGTGATCATGACTAGTTAATTACAAAAGGAGTATACATTTTAGGCACATGTAACATATCTCTTCTATCTTAAAGGTTCTTCGGGAATCGTTCCTACTGCTATTACTGTTTGGAGCAGTACCCTCAGGCCCTGGCAGACGCTGAACGCTCCATTCAGCTGTTCTCAGACTGGCCCAAAGGATACTTCCGTAAGGGCAGTGCTCTAATGGGCATGAAGGTGGGTTGAAGCTTGTAATTAAAATAAATATGTGCTGAATCGCTTTACACTTCTAGTGTGACAAGATTAGCCTTTACTTAGACATTTTTGTGGGTCTTTGTGTGTGTTGTAGCGGTACGGTGAGGCAGAGAAGGCCATGGAGCAGGTGCTGAAACTCGACGAAGACTGTGAGGAGGCTGTCAATGACCTCTTTAACTGCAAAGTGCTGCAGTTAATGGTAAATGAACCGCACACAAAGTGGCAAAGGTGTTTCCTGTTCCTGCTCGGTAGCTGTAGATCTGAACTTTTTAGCTTAAGGAAAAAACCTTTTTTTTTAATTAGTCGTCTTGTTCCTTTTAACTGTTACTTTTGGTCATTCTTTCTTCTCCTCTAGGAGCTTGGTTTCGAAGAAATGCAAAGTGTTTTACTGCTGGAAAGATTTTCGACTGTGCAGGCTGTTCTGGCCTCTTATTCTGACGCTGCCAGGGGTAAGATGAATTGTAAATTGGACTTTTTTATTTCCTCCATGTTACAATGGAGACCGGTATTGTAAACAGTAATTGGCTTTTGTTTAAATCCTACATCCTTTCTACTGATATTGATTAAGCTCTTTTTGTTCTGTAGCTGGTGGCCAAGAGGTTGTGCAACCAGGGTAGGTGACCATTTGTTTGTCCAATCATACATTCTCTATCTGAATTGTGATTGTATTGCTTTCAGTAACCTTTTATTTCTTTGTCTTTTCTTTAGAAGCCCTTGCCCGTCTCTGTGGGTGGGAAATGTGACCACTGAACTAACTGAGAAACACCTTTGGGACCTTTTTAAAATGTATGACACTAATCCCCAAAAATATTTTATAATAGCTCATTCTTCTCTTTAAATCTGTTAATATGAGCGCATAATCGATTTCTAATTCAATACTGGGACATTTAAACAGGCCTGTGTGTGTACTTGTTTTGGTCTCAAACATGGAATGTGGTTATTGACAATTTGTTTACTTTGCATTTTAGGTTTGGTGAGATAGAGAGTATCCGAGTTCTGCATGAGAGATTCTGTGCCTTTGTAAACTTCAAGAATGCAAACATGGCAGCTCTTGCCATGGAGAAACTAAATGTAAGGATTTATTTGGCTCCACTTTTTCAATCTTGTGTCTGTATTTAAAGAACATTATTGGGGACTTAAAGTGTATGCTTCCCCTCACAGGGTCATTGTATTGAAAACACACGGTTAGTGGTGCGCTACCCTGACCGGCGTACTCAGAAGGTCCTTCCCATCCCACTAAAGACCTGTCTGCCTGTCACTCAGCAGGCAGGCGCAGCGGCGGGGTGAGAAACTCTCCGTCACTGAAACCATAAAATAGGACTGCAGTTCTAATCGATTTCATACCTAATATGCTTTCTGTGTTTATTTTCTCTATGACATCTTCCTGTCGGCCCAGACCTCGACGACGGGGCCCAGTGAACGGAGACGAGTGTTACTTCTGGAGAACCACCGGCTGCCATTTTGGGGACAAATGTCGCTACAAACACATTCCTGATCAGAAAGGCAAGGACAGGAAGCCCTGGCAGCCTTGAACTCAGTTTACTCTCTGCCTCAGTAATGTGCAGGAAACTGGGATGCAGACTGAGCCGGTACTGACTGGACCAGGTTCTCTGGGCTCTAATATTTACTGTAGCAGAACGGACCAGAATAGTGAAATGATCAGAGCCAGCACCCAGGCTCAAAGGCAGAGATAGTCACACATGTGCCAAATGACTGCAAGTATTAAGGTTTTTATCTCATCGAAAGACTTTACTCAACAATATTTCTCGACAGTACAAAGTAAATTAGAAGGGAGCAACAAATTTACCTGGTGTAGTCTTTGTTTGGAATAAAAACCTTCGTATTAGCAGCCTTTCACAGCACATGTTGACCTATTCCAGCTTCATACGACCGAACCTCACAGGCATACAACATAAGGAGGAAGTGAAACTGCCTTGGTCGACTATGGGAAAACAAGTAATGGCTCTGTCATGTACAGCAGATAGGAAAGGACTCAGTTTGGATTTTAAGGGCCTTGGTTCCTCAGTGATGATTCTGGGATTCTTCCTTCTTTGTAATCACACCTCCCTATCAGCCCTTTTAAGTACAGTAACTCAAACAATACTTTAACTTGCAGTTTGTTTAATCAGTTTAGGTTTATCAATAGCCAACAGCGGCTTACATCAGTCTGTGGTTCAGTCTCGGGCTTCGTTTCCCACTTGGTGTTCCTCTATCAATTCAGCACATTGTCGATCAGACCAAAGAATTACCAACATATGTACTAGACATATCAGTACCTCCTCTATGCACATGCGGTTGTTTAAGCAAACCGACAGAAACCCAGAGAGAGACAGTTTATAATGTGCTATGTAGCCTTAGTTAAGAGGATCATACATGGGTGAAAAGACATACAATAACCAAAATGTATTTTAATGCAAACATAAGTGCCAACTTGAGTGTCAATGATGTGCCATAGACATACGAACACTTACTAAATGTCTATACCATGGCAATGCCATTGATAAACAACTTCATACAACAAAACAGTGCCTTACAAAAGAAATGTCTGGACATGTGTAACATGATCCATTCACAGAACTTCTGAATCCTGAGAAGCAGTGTTTTTTTACCTTAGGGACTCCATTTCAGTATTTCAGTGAACCAAAGAATGCTTCTTCTGATGGCTACGCACTGAAAACAGTCTGTTCTTTCATAGGTTTCAACACTAGGCAGTGCATTAAAACCCATTAGCATGTGTCTGCATCATCCACTATATAACAACAGCTACAGCACCTGGTTTAAGTCAACACTAAGTTCACAAGTAAATTATGCACAGCATAGTGAGAGTATTTATTTCCCTATTTATACAGACGTTTTTTTTCTTTTTTACAACATAACTTGGTAGTTGGATACACCCGTTCATTTACTGGCCTTTTAGTACTTTGAATGGTCATGTTCCTTATGGCTTTAAGAGGCAAGCATTGTTAAGGAACACTTGGTGTCACACAATCACATGCTGCACTTCTGCTTTTCTTGTTGCTAAAACTTGTGAAAAAGGAATTGGACACCAAACCTTAAGTCTGCACTTGTTGATTTAACAAACATGCTAATGTTTGTGTGACTGGTGCTATTAACTCTGGTTGTGCATTGCATTTAATTTTGCAGACTAACACAATGCATTCAATGTTACCATAGCATAATTTGATTTAATCTTGTGGACATTTCAACCTTGTGGATAAGATTTCCTTGGGTTTATTTTAGCTATTTGGTATGTTCTTTTTAGGCTTTTTACCTTTTTTTCAAACTATTTCAGGAAAAATGCAATTTTAATTTGATGTAAACATTAATAACCAGAGCACTGCAATCTTGTTAATCTTCCAAATATTTTGTATTATCATTACTGCACTGCAAAAAAAGAGTCTTTTATATTTAATAAATGTATTTGAACCACCTTTTTCTGAATCTCTTAATTTATTGCACAAACTGGGAGAGAAAGGTCTTTGGTATAGCATGGTTTATCTAATATGTCAGGAACATGAACAACTCTCTGCCAGTGGTGTGTGGTTTTCCTGCATTCCACAAGGCGGCAGTGTTGTACATGAAAGGTTTAAACTGAAATATGTCACCAACTTCACAAGCCTATACGATGCATACACATTCATCTTTTTTGATCTCTAGGAACCAAATTGTGGCTCTAACTCATTCCTGATGCAGCAACCCCTGCAGTAGTAAATCAAAGCAGTCCAGGCTGGTGTGGGGGGGAATATGGTAACCCTGTCATCACTCGGCCAGCATGAAAGTTGCATTAGAGAATCTGTAACCACTAAAACCAGTGGGAAATGGAGACATGACTGAGAATGTGTGGGAAAAGCAACCATTATCCCACAGATTATATTTTGAATAGAGAGTAACTAAAGCCTTATACCACCTGCAAATATGTATGCAAGTGTGAGAGCACCACAATGCTGCAAAATTAGAGGGGCACTCTGCAACTCTTTATAGCAAGTTTACTCAAAAACTGTAATATACAGCTTTCCAAAGTTTAAAATAACCCAATAAGAAAAGGAATGTGTTACAAAAGAGGCTGGGCTGGTGTAATGAGCAATGCAATTAAGTTGATGAGTTGATACTAGGGACTCAAATCAGGATATCTTGGCCTCTACTGCTTTAATTGTGTCCTTTTTATTGAATTCCCCTGACTAGGGAAAAGTGTATGTAAAATTGCATGCATTAAAAAAGGGAAATAATTGTTATCTGCTAAAGATTTTCAACCAATAAATATGGGTTTAAAGTGTGTGTGTTAAGTTATAATTGAACCCAATCAATAACATTTTCACCTCATAGTCAAATGTAAGTGCACCTTGGGGTTAAGACCAAAATGCCCTTTGATGCTAAAGCTAATTAGATCAACCCTCTACGTACTGCTCGCTGCATTCTCAGCCCTTAAACCGGAGTGGCGTATTCTCTACCTTATGTGCCTACATGCTAAGTAAAAGCATTATAAAAGCCCAGAGAGACGGCGGTGGGGGTGAGCATGAGGAGGTGCTGTCCTTTGAAAAGGCACTTGTTTATTGTTGGAGAGCATGTATTTATTTCATGCCTCCACAGATTGTGGGTAAGGGCAGAGCCTGCTTGGTCGGCGTAATTAGAGAGGTGGAGAGCGAGAGAGAGAGGCAGTGAGAAAGAAAGAGAAAGCTCTCAGCCCTGTGAGCCCTCCTAGAGCCCTGTAATGCACTCTCACTAACACACACACACACACACACACACACACACACACACACACACACACACACACACACACACACACACACACACACACACACACACACACACACACACAGAGCTGTTAAGTATTGGCACACACGTAGGGACACCTGTCTAGTCTAGTTTAATTAGTCTGATATACAACAGTGCATCACAAGTTATAATTGAAAAATGTCACACACATCAATGATAATTATATTTTTAACCTTAGCACCCTCTTTTCCTTTTTTTCTCTTTCTTTACTTCCCTGTCGGCCTTGCAGGTCCCTCTGATTTGGCCCCGCTAATAGGGGGTCTGCTCTTCCTGTTCGGGTTTACCAGTCAGGGAGGGACCACCATCCTGCCACCCAGTCGCACCATCACTCTGCACACAAACATCTCAATTACAGCTTCAAAGTTTACACGTGTGCACACAAATACACATATATGTAACATATGATTTTTTTTTCTTTTCACCCCATTGGGGCTCTGCATACCATTTTTTTCACGGTTAGGTTGAAGTTTCGTTTCCTACCTCCCCTGTCATGATTGTAATTCTTGATGCCTAAGAATAAACCATGCTGCCTAAAAAGGTGCCCACTGAGGTTTACTTGAAAACAGGAAAACAGTTTATCAACACAACACCCTGAAGCTAAACATTTCCAGGGAGCTAAATGTGTCCAACATCATCCAAAAATGAATCAAAAAACAAATAAACAAGTTTCAAACATGTAGAAAGGCCTCAGTAGACAAATGCAGGAAATCTAAATCGGATCAGCACGGAGCACTGAAGTGAACCCGGCTAGAAAGCTATAAAAAGGACTTTTCGCTCATTTTTTTGCCGGACCTGATGACTCAAACCTTTATGCTTTTATATGCCATGATGATATGTTAGACTATAGTAACACACTCCTGGGCAGGGGTGGAATGGCGTATTCTCATCAGTCACGAGCGCCATGGCTACGATCAGGCTGAGCCTTTTTTAGAGTTGGTGGTTTGCGGCATTCTCAACAAGGAAATATCTACCCTGCGGTATAGGGAGCTTCTTTAAGACACTTGGAGCTTGATGTTTGAAACTATTCTTGAACCAGAGTCCTTCCTGTTGGTTACATTTACACACGTTCACCCTAAAGTTTTGTAACACTGTGCGTGTGCAGTTGTGTAAAGCACCTTCAACCTATCAGAGAAGAGAGATGTAAAGAGGCCCAATCAGAGACAAAACATTTGATTTGATTATGAAAATAAGTTTCATAATGTATACATCTATCCAGAAACGGATGACTTTCGAGTTGGCTTGGAATTATTTCGGAGACACTCCCTGCCAGATTCATTAAAATGTGACAAAAGACTTAAAAGTTTCCACCTACAACTACACAAATGCAAAACAACTACAGAATAAGTTAAAAATGTTGGTGTAGGGAATTCACTACTCAGATATGTTTACATTTCCTAGAAAGTGTTGGACCATTATGCAGTCAAGGTTGCAATGTAATTACCAGCTTCACATTTTAGCATTTACATTAACACTTCTATATGAGATCCCAGAAGGAAAAAGGAGCATGAGAAGGGAGGGAGGGAGGGAGGCAGGGAGGAATATAGAGAGAAGGAGGGCAGAAGGGAGGATTGACTAAGGAGAGCAGTTAGTAGACTCACTCACACTCTCCCCTAGCCAGTGACGTCCACCACTGCAAACATTTGCTGCCTGCCAGGTGAGTGAACTTTCACCTTACCTTCTCTTTTTACATTGTATCTTGGTATGGAATATTATTTACTTTACTTTGATTTATCAGTTTATTGTTTTTTTTTAAATTCATAGCCTATCTGTGTGCAAGTGTAACAGGTGTAGCAGTGTTGGGATGAATTTTTCTGTTCTTAAATGTGAGCTTTTCTAATTTATTTAAAAAATAAGTTAGATAAAAAATATAACTGCCAATGTTCAAACATTAAGAAGAAATATTTGTTGTTTTTAGGTGGTTCCTATGAAATAAACATAAACAGAGACAAACAGTGCAGTGTTAGGATTAAGCTGCTGTTTTCCCTATGATTTACTGTTTCCATGCCTGCAAAGTCTGTTTGTTTGTTGATGGTTTGTTCCTTTATAATTTTACCGTCACAGTAGACAAGCAGATTTGGTGTATTTCGTGCTCAGTGTTGTTCTGTGGCATGCAGTGATTTAATGTTTCAGTGTGTCTGTCTCCACCGCTGCGTTCTTGTTTGGCTGTGACACTTGTTAACCTTCAGTTAAAACCTGTCTCGTGTTTCTTTCAGTCTGGTTAGTACGCCTTCAGGGATGTTTATTCACGTAAATTGCAATACAAAAATGCGTTAGTTGGTCTTTAATTATATGCCAATGTTTGACATGAGTGAAAAGTAGGCCTAGTCATTTTATGTGTTTTGGCAAAATTGATGATGCACCAGTGAGGTAAATAAAATGTGGGACTTTATCTCTTTGACTTAGATCCCGTTTTATTTATTGGCTGTATTCTGCCATTGAGTAGAGTCAGAATACTTTATAGTAGGCCTAGTTTACCTGAATTATTTTGTCCAGAGGATGTCACCGTTGGTCCATTTAATAACCAGGCCTCTGAGGGGTTTCTACAGGCTGACTGTTTGACTTGTGTTAGGGAATTACTCAGTCTTTATACACTGTGGTTTGCGTTTCAAGATGTAGTATGTCATCTAAAAGTGATGACAGATGTTTCTCATTATGGGGAAATTAGCCTGTAGCTTTAAATTGACTGCCTAATTGACTAGCCAGGTATATTACTCCACTGGGAAATTTAACAGAAGCCAAATGAATAACATAACCTGAAACATCGTCTGATTAAGCGTAAAAAGAAGAGCACATTGAATCATGCAGTGTAACGTTTTGTACCTGCAGACCCCCTCCTCTCCGTCACGATGACCCGCACCCTCTGCTTGAGCTTCTTCCTCCTGCTGCTGTCCCTCTCTTCTCCCGCTCGCGCTGAACCTCGGCGGAGCTCGTCCAATCAGCGCAGGGCTCCTCGCGCATCCGCCGCCAAGGTGCGTTTGGCAGGCAACTTTGCGCGAGAACCCCACGAAGGGCGCGTGGAGGTGCTGCACAACAACACCTGGGGGACTGTCTGCGATGATGAAGTGGACATCAAGTTGGCCAACGTGGTGTGCAAAGAGCTGGGTTTCCAGAGCGGTGTGACGTGGGCACACAGCGCACAGTATGGAGAAGGAGCCGGTGAGAGCACTTCCTGTAACAAATTACAACCATTTAGCAATTTTGGAAGTGAGACATTTTCCTGAAAAAAGGTAAATTGTCAGTTTGTTGTTGTTGGCCAGACTTGACTTGTGAGTGACAAACTATGATAGGCCGCCTTTGACATGATAGCAGTGAAAACACAGGTGTAATAATTATATTAAAAGGACTGCATAACTCACTGACTGAATCGAAAAAATCTAAACTTAGTTGTATTATTTACACCTGTGCTATTCACGCAATAATGAGTCAAAATGTCTGCTCTTAAAAAGGCCCATTAGATAATCATTGTCATTTATTAGATTGAGACTCAGCAGGTGGCCATATTGGAACAGTTAATTGAAAACCTGTCTCTTGTGTGCTTCCTCCACACAACTCTAAATGCATGGCTACATGAAAGGACCACCAATTAAGGCATCCAAAATAACTAACATCATAAAGTGACAAAGATAACTTGTTGTGGGATTGGAGTCTACATCT